ACAGCGATAACACCCACCATGTACACTGACATGAGTAGTAGCACGTTACGTTCACTTCCTCTGTGACTTAGACCTTGGGACGTCTTTCTATCGATACCGCCGCGCAGGAGGTTGGATGAAACGGCTCCAGATTCCTCTTTCACTGCTGCTTTCGATGAGTTGTGCGACCGTAGACATGACGCAGAACGCGCGCTTGTCAGGGACGATGACTGTCGCGTCAACGAGAGATCATCGTATCATCCGCCAGGTCCGACGCGTCGAGGTCAGCAAAAATGGTGACGGGAGCCCTCGCGCAGACTCGGAGTTGGTTAGCGGTGCCCTGTGCGTCGTGCGCAAACTTCGGGCTGCGGGCCTGCAACGCGAGAAGGCGAGAAAGAGCGGCCTCCGAGTCTTTACTTCTCACCGTGGAATACTGATACAGGCGAGCGGCAAGCTCTCGCCCATGCTCGAGCACGAGCGCAAGCTCGCAGCGGGGGCGACCGTGTCGGACGCGTCGATTCACGGAGATGCGCATTGTCGACTGAGTTCAACCCGCTGCGACCGTATCACGGAAGAGATCTACAATGTCATGGTAGGTTAGCGTAGGCCGAGGTACGCTTTCCCGACTCACACAAAGTTCGAGGACTCGACGCGAGCGTCGAGTCATCCAACACGCAGCTCAGCCCGAACAAAGGATATATCAGACGGGACTGTGACCCGTTTCACAGCATATAAGGATATCGATTATCGGCCCTCATGGAAACCGTCCGCGAGAACGTGAGGCAAGGAGGTGCTATGAAGACACCACTGCGAGCGAGGGCCTGGAGTTGGGCGGGATGCACTTGTGTCCAGCCCAATTCCCTATCATCGCTAGCGTCGATGCCTAGCGTACAAACATCGCCCCATGGGCGTGTACTGACGGTCGGTCGGTGTGATCCACACTGGGAGCATGTATGCGCGGGACTACGACGGAGAGATCGACATCGCCGATATCACCTACCCGTCGCCAACCCGGGCGCATATGTATACAGAGTATAGCGAGTGTCGTCTCGTTCGACCTATAACATCTTCGAGACAGACGTCGACGCGCAGACGTACCGTAGTATCACCACCTGTGCGTCCCATACCCCTCCCGCGCGTCAACATGCATCCGTCCGCTGCTCCTGCGTATGGGCGTTGATGCCCCGCCTACCTAGGTCGGTATTGCCATCGGGATCGCAGGCCATGAAGTCTGCCCGCACAAAGTGAGAGATGTAGAGGAGGATAGACGGTATGGATGTAGCACCGCGTACGTACCGCGAAGTGGGCTGTGCGAAGAGGCCGCTCGCCGGACGCGTTACAACACGTAGCGCAGGATGAATCATTTAAGAGAGCCTACATATAGACGTCAGTGAAAGAGGAGACTAGCGAGACCTGCAGCACGTACTGCGGTGTATGCGTGAGGCAACAATTCCGCGCAGCTTGGAATGGCCGCTAGCCGAAGAAGACGACATAGCAGTAGCGTAGGCATTCGGCGGATGCGTACTGTAGTTGACGCAGCAGATCCAGACGAATAGGCAGCGGGGACGCTGTAATCGGTGTTGCGGATGCTAGTCGTTGGTGAGTTGGCCGTAGGCAGGGAGCTGTACGTGGCGGCGATGGCGAGCGCGTATGGTGACGCAGTGCGACATCCATTCAGGACAGAAGGCCAGTGGATCGTCGGTGGGCAGCGGGGATCGTGGAGCGAGGCAAGAGCGAACGACCGACACAGTGACGCGTGACACGTGCAGACTCGGCAAAAAATCGGAAATACAGCACGCGCACCGAGCCCGACGCGGACGTTCCTCCGCCGCTCACTCGTATGGCACACTGAGGCTGCGGCTCACGACCGCCAGGGCCGTCTACGACCTGGGAGGAAATCAAGGCAACCGAGGCCACACAAACGAAGTTCCCTAGACCTCGGCGGCGCCCACTTACACCTCAGTCTTCGTCGGTCAATTCTACTTCGAACGGACCGATGCTCGATTACTGCTCAAGCTCGAAGCAAATGCATTGGCAGTGATTGCGCTCACAGCTGTTCTGCGATGGGATTCAGGCGGGGGGACTGGCTATCGCTGGTCGTAGCGTTTGCAGAGTCGATCTGTCGATTTGGTGTCTGTGTCAGGAGCAGGGAGCAGGGAGTCAGTACGATGCGGAGCGACGTATCAGCAGCGGTGAGTAGCATTCACTGATCTCGACGTAACAAGCTCAGAATATAGGTTCAATCTGTAAGGCACTTCTCCGAATATAGGTCCACTATTGTAGGGCACTCCGGACGCTACGAATGGTCCCGATTGCGGCACTCGTTCCTCCCGAGTTGTTGCAGCGACCCTTCCGCCTCTCTTCTCCGTGCTCGTACGTACACCAGCCAATACACCACAACAAGTTCCTTTCGCTCCGTGGTACGTTATTCGCACTCCGCGCCAGGATCTTCGTTGCGATCAGAGGACCGAGTCGTCTCCTGCAGGTCGGGTCAAACTTCCAGCCAAGGGCCACATACCGACACGGTACAGTAGCACTTTGCGCGTGGGCGTGCGGGACGGATGAACGGACTTGTTCGTGCTCTCGAGCCTTGCCTTCCCGTCAATCCATTGTTTCAGCTGGACATGGCTGCGTACGAGGTATGTCCTGCTAGCTTTCCACGGCACCTACTAACTTATCCAATGTTGAAGTGCTACCACCTTTCCGCCTCGGTGCTTCAACCAAGATACAGTTCTATGGTCCGACACGCACGGCTCGAGGTAAGCCGTGCTTGTCGCGAAGCCGCCCATCTTCTACCGAATACTGTGTGTTCATTCGTTGCAATCAAATTCTGCCGTATCCCATCTGAATTCTATCGCGTCAGAAGTTCTGCTGGGTCAGGACTCACCTGTCGTAGACCCGCTTCAGAGCTCGACGCAGATCAGTGCCCTACTGGACGGCGATCATGCAACAGCCGTTCGCCGCATGTGGGTGCGATGCTATGTCGGGTTCGTTCACGCTCACCTTTCACCCGCATCCCCCCACTTCTTCGCTGCGAAACCCAATACACCCGTGAACGTGCAGGAGAAGCAGACCGCGGCTGCGCTCAACCGCAAGACTTGTCCAATCAGCTTCAAATTGCTGGCGTGTACATCCGCGGCGAACGTGATGCAGCTTCTCGAGTCCGTCTTCACGCAGACCGGGTCATGCCGTATGCCCTTTCTCGCTCCGAATCCTGGGTTCTACTCCGGGTTCCCAGCGACTCTACGTGACTCGTGTACAGAATAGCACTCACCGTATCCCGTTAATACCTCAATATATGCTCGGTCGGATTGCTGCGTTTATGAAGCAAGGCCCCAGGACCTGATCTCGTAGCCTGGAGGTGCTCCATGGTCGGTTCCTCGCAGTTACGAACCATACCGACGTCCTCGCACCGCCCGTATCCATTGCGTTATGGGTCAACGCACGGAAGACACGTGGTAGGCCGATGGAGTGGTAGATTGAAGTGAGGATTTTTATGTTCTCGCGGGAACGAGTCCCCGTCTCTGGAGTCAGACCTGGGGACGAAGGGGAATGTGAGTCAACTGCTGTGTCATATGCGAGATTTTATACCTCGGATTGAACGAGTAGTTCCGTCAGGCGTGCTTCAAGCGAAGTTATGAAAGCAGTCTTCAGACGACTCGGAACCGTCAATGCAGTATAGCCTCGCGGAATGGCCTGCGGCGAGAAGGGCGAGGCAGAAGACAGAACCTCATCATCCTCGCTCTGCGCGTGCAGCTGTGCATCATCGCGCTGCGGTAAACACATCATGATTGTGCGTGTATATTCCTCGAGCATACACGCGGCTGGTACACACTTCTTCAGGCAAATCCAACGGAACTTGATACTTAGGACACACGGCGACATCATGACTCATGACTCATACGTAAGCCGGTATGCATCCTCGCATGTATCGTAAGCACCTTGAATGGACACTGTCTTTAGTTCTCACGCTCCGAGTCGTCTCTCCGGTTCTTTTCCCTCATGAACGACCTCCATCCACAGCTGGCTGCCCCCGGGCTTGTATATAGAGGATCGTTCCCCTCGTTCACTCGCTGACACCTCCGGTCGCCGTCTCTCCTCCAGGAGGACACGTAGCCGACCCGTCGTTGTGGCCCGTTGTGGCCACCGGGCTTGCACAGTGAGACTGCGTCTCCGTCCTCTCCTCGTGCGCGATCTATATGTCGATCGGCGTCGTTCCTCATTCAGAGATGGAGCCTCTCCCCTCTAGATGTGTGCGCGGCCTGCGCAGCTCGACGGACCCTTCGCGCGGCCCCCGAAGCTTTACAACTAGAGCCTTGAGCTTTTGTAGCGAAGCACTAGAGCCCCACCTCTAGCGTAAAGTTAGTACATTGTTACCGTGTGACTCGCGGGAGTACGAACCACAGTGGTCCTCCTGCTGTTCACTCATGGCCGGAGCGTTTCCAGCTCCGAGAATCGTCTACCGCCACGGCTCGCAGGGAAGGGAGCGGTCCCATCGCAGAGCGATTGTGTGTATTGAACGTAGAACCGAACCAGAGGGAGGCTTCCCATCGCCACGCTACTAGTAGGATGGTTCCCTTTTGAGACGGATAGCGATACGTTAGAACGGTCTCGCGGCGCGTGCCCTGCGGTCGGTTATCGTCGAGCCTTACGACTGTGGAAGGAGCTGGAAGCTGTAGGGCCGATGAGGAGACTAATGCAGTGGTACACTACTCACTGCAACGCGTCACCAAGACACGACGTGAGTGCTCAGCGCTCCGCCCGTGCTTATCTTTCCGAGACCCGTGTTTCTAGCGTAGCATTTTGGAATAGATAGTGAAACGACGGCATACATATTGCGCGGGGAATTCTGCACTCGCTCGTCCATCGTCTGCCGTTTTCTCTGCCTTCTCACATTCTACATCTACGCCCCCCGACTTACGTCTTCCGAGTCGTTTCCTGCGACCGTCCTGACTCCGACCTGATCCGGCGATGCTATCTGGGTTGAGCTGATCAGCGGGCTGAGCAAGTCGCAGTCGGGCTTATGGATTTGAAGAAGCAATGTGCCTCACCTCAGAGTCAACCCAAGGAAGTGTGAATGGTGATGTCCGATCGGGATCGGGATCGAACTTGAGTTTCAGAACGTTGTTACGGGCCAACCACGGTGCAAAAAGAGCGAAGATGTGGAATTTGATCCCAGACATTATGTGCTTAGCCTCTGGCTCTACTTTTGACATAGAGAAGTAGACATCAACACCATTCTTTGGAAGCCGGTCATAGATGCCGCGCGACAGCACGGCGTGGAATGTGGGAATAGACTTCGTCGTGTCTGCTGGGGAGACAGGGACCTCATTTGCATCCTGGAGGATTTTAGATTGGTTGAGCCAGATGGAAAGCGAAATTCGCCGCAGACGCGGGCTGGTGATGTCGGACAGCAAGGCCTCGAGAGCCCTTTGTATGATCTGCGGCGACGAAGGAAGGCACAGGGCCAGGTCTAGTTCCTCCAGTGACGTGTTCGCTGATAATCGCGGTACGGCTTCGAAGGCTACGTTTACGTCGGTGAGCAATCATGATGAATTTCAGATACAGTGAGTGCTGAGGAACATTACCTTCACCGTGAAGATGCCACCACAAGAACTTCTCGAGTGCAGCTCCTGTAATTTGCAGTATGCTGGTAACATGTGCTATAAGTTCTGCACACGGTCGGCCCGCGAGCGAGATAACAAATTCTCGTAATTGATGGCATGTTCGCGAATTGAGCAATGTCAACAATAGTAGTGCGCGTCTCGAGCGCACGTTGTTGAGCTCGAATTTTGATAAGGAGTATCGAAGTGGGTGGACTGTGTGCACGCCAAGGGAAGGGTGCTGGAATGCTATTTCATCAAGAACCACCTCTGAGAGGTTGGGTAGTGCATTGATCATCCTGCGAAGGTCGAGCGCGTGGCGAAAGCGGAAAAAGCGAAGTTCCAGGACTCGCATCGAATGCAATTCGAGAGACGGAGGAAGTGCTGGGGGTTGATAGCTACCCAATCCGCATACCAGAGCACGAGGAGCGATAGTCGAGGTAACAAACCTAGGGAATGTGCATCACCCAGGAGTGCGCGAACGTTCCATGAAGTCTCAGCGATGCGATTTGAACCTTGAAAAAGGGCAAGTATCTTGGTCGGGCGAGGAGTCTTGAGTATTGCATGAAACTCTCTTTATGGATAAATCGGTGATCGTCCGCCATCGTAGGGAAGAGCGGGCGTGTAGCGCAGTACCACGCGTGGCAAACGAGGCAGCACCCCGCAAATGCCCTGGGATCATCCCAAAGGAAGTCGACGATGCGCTCGACAAGTTCGTGCGCAAAGCGCGGATAGTTGTCTCTGCACGCACAGGAAGTTAGCATAATTGGTATGTGTCACCTTCACTGATACTTGGACAGCATACATAGAATGGGTACGCACCTTGAGTACGTGGGCGGCTTGTAGTAAATCTCGAGCTTCTTGGCCATTTTGTCTTCGTTGTGCGTGGTACCGCCCATCTACTGAACGGCCATGCAAGTTGATCATGCCAGCTCGCACCTTACTGGGACGGACTCACCTAGTGCAAGCTTGAGTGCCGTTCAATCCAATTACCGACGGCAGACGCCAAGATACTCTACTGACACCACGCAAAGATCAGACGATGACTTGCCTGATAACATACGACTGTGATCTCACCGGAGCAAGGCGCTTCTAATTGAGCCGCGTCGGACGTGAGCGCGACAGTGACACTACTTGGAGAGGAAGTGGCAGTGGAGTACGAATGTCGTGAATCAGGATCGAAGGGATGCCCCGGTTGAGCGTAGAGATTGTATCAGGAAGGGCGACGCAACAGTGGCTCTTGAACTCACACGCAGCGATAGTCCTTTATGAATCTGACTGAATGCGATGCATCGCGTCAACCACACGGCCTCGAGCAGGCCTCATGTGAGATCTAGAAGCATATTAGGTTCTGTCCTGCTCTGCTCGGACCGCCTCAGTGGCGAGTCCGCGTAAATTGAGCGCTCGGCGCGGCCATAGCGATGCATTGAACCTAAGTAGCGCATGTACAGTACATGGCCCGTGCGTCAGTGAAAGGATCGTACTATCTCCTAGCTGCTGTTGTATGCTCCGTGCCCTCTTCCGGCTGCCCTTGCCCTAGAGATTGACGGTCTGCAGCTGGGGATCACTTACCAGGTCCGACGCATCGATGCCAAGGACGCTGACGAGAATCCGCGCGTAGACTGGGAGTTGGCCAGCTGTTCCCCGTGCCCATCACGCGAGCTCCCTGTGACGTGAGAACGTGAGCGAGCGTGGCCTTCGAGTCTGTAATATCTCACCTTCAAACGACAGGCCAATCTCAACCTCTGAGCTGAACTCACAGCCTGGATGACCGTATCGAATGTGTGACTTTGCGAGGATGCGCGTTGCCGTCTGCCTTGTCCCCGCTCTGACCGTATCGTATGAGGGATCTGCGACATCATGATATGTTGGAGTATGTGCGCCTTCGCGATGGCTCGAAGCGGGCCCCGGCCCACCCGACACGCAGCTAGAAATTTCGGCGATCGCCGACGGCTGACACGCTCTGCGTGGTGTGTATCACCGGAGACATGTGCCGGAATGGGAACGCCCTAAATGGGGCTCAAATGCTTTCCCAAATTGTGACCGATAGGACGCAATTTGGGGTCAGCGGATATTCGAGCCTAAAGTATCCATATAAGGCAGGATATTGGCCCGCCGAAAATCTCGGGCGTAAACGTAGAACACGGGACGGGCGTGTATTCAAGTTAAGAGACGACGGATAAGGGGTGAGACAATATGCAAGACCAAAGTTCAAAAACGGGATTACCATACGAGGCCACCGTAAACTCGGCCGAGAATGCTATCAGTAGGTTCGTCGTAAATGGTGTCTGAAATGCAAAATATACGACACTCGTAAATTTTGAATTTGGGCTCGTCGCGTATTCGAGCGCAAATGCTGGGCTTAGGACGAGATTTGGGCAACTCGCAAATCTCGGGCAGAAATGCTGGATTTTCGGCGGCCCTATATGAGCGTGTCGATCATAGCCCCCTGAGTGGCCCGCTGAGCGGCGTCGTGATCGTCTATTGCAATACCTTAGTGTAGAGGAGTCTCTCAATTTCACATCAGTTTGTCATAAAACACGCGGAATGACATTACGGGTCCAGAACAGTATCTATAATGCATGAACACGAGCACAACCACGATCAATCAGTCCAAGCATGTCAACCAATCCAAGCACAATCAACCAGTCCAACCATTCGTCCATCTCGAGTGCACACATTGGCGTGCAATGAAGTTCAATTTGACAACTACAACAACGTGGTCAGTGATTCACATTATGACAGTGAAGAAAATGAACATACCAGGTTACACTGCGTGCACCCAGTCTTCCGTTGAACTCCACATCAACGTTACGAACGACGGCTTCGGAGCAGGCGGGCGATGATAGTACGGACGGAGTGGTGAGACGTCGGCATATTGGACATCGGTGTGGAACTGGAAGATGGCTAGCCACTTCGAGGGCATAAACCACTTCCGCATCTTCGCGGCTAGAGGTAGCTCGCACGCTGCCTCCTCACATACGAGGAGGTAGGAGTCACCGAGGTCGGACACAACGCGGAAGAGAACTTTCGACGCGCCTACGGCACAGATTTGAGCGAGGCGACCGTAATATGTGCGGTTATTGTCTGCCACCACGAGACAGATGGGCTGGCCCAGGCCGAGCGGCTGGCTGAGGCTGGTTGCGACTGCACCAAAAATGTAGCTTCCGCCGAAGCGCGGGGAGATGGCGGCGATGCGATATGCGCCGATCGACGGGCAAGAAAGAGGATCGAAAGAAAGGTCTAACGAGCGAAGGGGCGGCGTGCAGCCAGCTAACGACGACAGGGAGCGGAGAGGCATTGTGGGGGGTGCGTCGTTGAGAGGACAAGCGATGCACCCTTGACTATATAGAAAAATACTTACGGCATGCGCTCAAGCGCCATCCCATGAGAGGCTCGCTAATTTGTATGGGGCGATCATGACTACGGTACGAAGCGATCAGAAGCGTACATATGGACACTAGTGGGCGCCACTTACATACTGATGGACCGCCTAGCCTTCGTAGTCGAGCTGGTCGCCGATGGGTGCGCTTGTGTCTGCAGCGCCTGACCCCGCCAAGAACTCTCACGGTTGTTTGACAAAAGACGCATTGTATATTGTCTACAAGTTACGCGACGACAGCTTTGTCCGTACTAGTAATTACGACGCCCCTGACTATATGAAGGTCAGAATTTTTCTGTTATACAAGAAAAACGCACACTTACATGGAGTGGGAGGCCCGGAATATAGACTGGCCTGCCTACAGCAAGTGTATGCTTCACCGCCTGACCTTGGGCTGCATACCAATGACGGTCGTAGAAATTAATGGGCAACTTGGGGATCACCTTGCGACCCGAAATCGGCGCCTTGAGAAGATCGAACGTCCTGAGGTAGGGCTTGTTGCCCGCTGCCGAACCCCCCACCGGATAGCTTTCCAATGCTTGCATCAGGTCTGCTACTTCCGCTGCACGCCAAGGGGTTCGCGCGCGCGTAACGGTTTTCCTCTTGGGGGTAGAGCCATCGTCCGTATGATCGGAACTCATCGCGCCGACATTGAGGAGGTCGACGACCTTCGCAACCTCCTTCCATAAATCGGGGTCGGTCTCGAAGTTGAGGCGAACGATGCGCTGCCGACGCTCGTATGTCTGAAATATTGTGTAAGTAAAGCCAAGAAAACACGAATGCAGGCTTACCCCATTTCGCCGGACATTGCGCCTAGTCTCCGCCTTGAGTTTGCTTTTCTCTTCAACGTAAGCTTCGGCAGTAAGCAGCCGGTGCTTGTTGTAATCCGTCTGCACCTTCTGTAGCTTCTTGGTTAGGTTGACATATACAGCCGGACGGGCTGGGCAGTCCCTGACTGTGAGCGGAAGGTGCATGTTCACCGCGATCTCCCCGAGGAAGGCGTTAGAAAGTACGACAATCGTCTCACTGTTCCACGCTTCACTCATTGGAGTATCCCAATCGAGGAGCGGGTGAGACGTATCAGGCCCTGGCCCATGACCATTCAGCCACGATTGGACCGTGAATAGGGTTGCCGAGATTGGTTTGACTCGTTCGTATTTCAGCGGCACATTCTTGGCTTTCAGCCAGTCACGGAAATACCGCTGACAGATCATTAGCATTCGTAAGTAATGAAAGGCTCCCGGAACTCACGTTGAACATATTGTGATCACGCGGACCCCGCTTCACACCCTTAGTACGAACCACTTCGTCATCTTCCTCATCATCGCCGTCCTGGTCAATGGGATCGCCATTGTTGGCAGACGTAGTCTTCACTGCAGCAGATGGTGATACCTGGGTCCCGCTCTGTATACTTCTGGTCAATATCTGCATTGAAGTTACAACAGAATGAATACCTGATCCTTCGCTCCCTCGGGCAACGTCTGCTGGACTTGCTCGATCAAGGATCTCTGTATTTTCGGTCAAATACGCCGCCGGACCGCCAACTCATTACTCACCGCCTTATCAGGATGGTCCATAGCTAGGTTGTTTAATAGATCCCTCTTGGTGGCGATCAGCATGGGAGTGCAAAACGAGGTATACTACAGGCACACCAATTTATCCACACGCTGGTCTGGTGTCAATGGGGCCAACCGGGGCGGCGACGATGCCGCCAGCTAAAGGAGTGTACACATTAGCGTTAGACTAAATGCTACGTTCTTCAATACTCGCCATTGGCTTGCGAACGGGCGTGGCCAGCACAGAACTATCCTGATCGATAGTTTGGAACCGCGCGTCCTGGACAGCGCCTTCGACCTCCCGTTCTTCCATGTCGTCGTTGTCTGGACACGAGATGCTCAGCTACAGTAGTTTTTTAAAGAAACAGGTTGAGCATACCTGTATCAGCCGACCGTCCAGCACCACCGTCCATGGGTTCATCGCCTTCGGGCACACCAGCCGCTGCTGCATCGGCATGCTTCCAGTAAACAGTTAGTGAGTGTAGAACGCGACATAATGAACTGATCTGAGTACCTTGTTCATCCCCAAGAAGTACCATCCATTGGTACCCCTTAACAGCTCCCTCGGTTGCTGGCGATCATCGCTCATGGTGAACTGGGGCGAAGACGGCGGGACCTGAGATATAAATACGTCCTAAGGACGGGTAACTTAGTACAGCTGCACGACGATAGACAATAGGACTGTCGTGCCGCAGACCGTGGTGGGATCGGTTACAAGCGGCGGATCATCAGCAAGGACAAAAGGACATCAGGAAAAACTGATTTTACTTGTCAAGCTACATGGGAAAATATCAAGACTTGGCTTACCTGGTCAAGCTGTACAGATCATGGTGCACTTGATTGTTACGTAGTGTTTCTTACTGTACTTGAACAAAACGGACTGTACTTGCTTAAGTGTACGTCAAGAGTTCAATGGTCAATGCAAGCAACATTCTGCTCATAGAATTTCCTTATTTTGAGGTCTTTCATTGAGTCGTTAATTCATCAAGTCTGTATTTGTTTCAAGCCATCTATTTCAGTAAATGTAGTACTTCTAGTATTCTGAATGTGTTCTCTACGGTGGTCCATGTCCAGAACACGAACCACCTTGGCCGGACGATCTGGAGGCATACCATCTCCCAACTTCTACCGCATTGACACCTGCTCAAACACAACTTGCACGAGTTGCGTAGCCCAACGAATTTCCAGGGCACATGGCTATCGCTTGACTCGCCGAAGGCTCGGTGCTCACGGACATGAGCAGCGTGAACTAGAGCACCACGGAGAAGGGCGGATTGATTGATTCCATGCCGGGTGATAGCCATCAGTGTACCGCGATGTGTCATGAGATCGCACAGCAACGAGAGATGTCGATAATTGATGTAGGATCCGTCGAACTCGATGACACCACGGAGTTCCTTCATGATGGCGACGCGGGCAGCTTCGAAACCGAGTACATTGAAGATCTCAACACAACTGTTTGAATATGTTCGGCGGAAGTCCACGCCGTCGACAGTCATGACAGTCTTGAGATTGACACCGTCCGTCTCGAGAACCCACTCTTTCTCCTGGTGGGCCTTGATGCTGCCCTCGTCGGTGATGACAACTTTGTCGTGCTCGAGCAAGAACACGCGGTTGATCCCGGGTACACCACGCAGGCTGATTGAGTTCAGCATAGTGTTCTCGAGTTGTCGAAGGAAGATATCCTCTTCCACGGTCTCCATACCATCCTCGTCCTTGTCGGCACCACCCAACACACGGCAGCGAATGATGAGCTTCTCGGAGTTGTCTTCGCTCCAAATGACGAATAGGTCAGTCTTGAAACTCTCCGCGATCCGACCAGCGACGTAGGACATCGTCAGCTTACGATCGATCATCTTCGCACGATCCAGCTCCAGATGCAAGAGCCACGGAGACTGGAGGTGTAGCTTCTGTTCAACCTCCTCGTCGGGGATTGCAAAGAACGACTCGATGAAAACGCCGTCCTCCTTGATGATGGTGGAAGTCGGATCGGGATCATACCAGATCTCCACTGCCGCCGTGACAGTGCGCAGAGACGTGTATGCCAGCTCCTTTTGAACTCTGTTCGCAAGAATCTTGTCCTTGGCGATGTGCGGTGCGAGGAACACGGAGAGTGAGGGCGTCTTGATGTTCGTCGCGACGTTGATGATTTCCTTCAACCGCGGCACACCCGAGCGTGACGTTCTTACTGGATACACCGGCGTAGTGGAACGTGTTCAGCGTCATCTGCGTCGCCGGTTCACCGATTGATTGCGCTGCGAGCGTACCCCACATCTCGCCTGGGTGCGCCACGGATTGATTGAACTTTGCCTCGACTTCGCCAAGAACCCACTCCAATGCTTCCGTGAAAGCGTTCCAGGACTCTCCGCGCAGCGAACGTAGCACGAAGGTGAGTGCGGAACAGGGGCGTTGCGTTGTTCTGGGCCTCCTGCGAAATACGACCGTCGCCACGAACAACAACTAGGCGCTCTGCCAGCTCGCGCACGGTGTCGATAATGTAAGCGGGGTCGAGGTCACTAGGTTTGCGTCGGTCGATGTGGAAGATTTGTATCGCGTTCTGTACAATCCGCTGAAGGTTGACGGGAAGGTGGTGAGGGACACTGGGATCCTGAGAACGGAATACGAATTCGCATAGCAGGCGGCAATCTTGGACGAGCTGGTCGTACTCCTCGTCAAGCTTCCCTTGCAGCTCCAGAGAACTGTCGTCCAAGCCAGCCTGGAGTACTCCAGGTAGGAAACCTCCAGACGGATCCGTAACGTCAACGCGGTAGTTGTGGGCGAATTCGCGGTCATTCAGAACAAACGTCTCGATGTTTTGGCGCTCGATGAATGCACCATCCATGCCGTCTTCGCCGTACACGAACTGGACGAGATCGCCGAGGGAATTTCGGACCGTCCCATCGTAACACACTGCGACATCCTCGAGTGCCTTGACGAGACGCCGCTGGATATAACCCGTCTCCGCTGTTTTGACAGCGGTATCGATCAGACCCTCTCGTCCAGCCATGGCGTGGAAGAAGAATTCCTGTGGCGTCAGACCACGAAGGTACGAGTTCTCAACGATTCCGCGAGCTTCCGGGCTAAAGTCGTCCTTGGTGAAGTGCGGAAGCGTCCGGTGGCGGAAACCAAACGGTATCCGATGCCCTTCGACGATCTGTTGGCCGACGCAAACCGACATCTGGGAGATGTTGATGAAGGACCCCTTGGATCCGGCGGTTACCATCTGCTTCACGTTGTTATCCTCCTTCAAGGCCTTTTGCGCGTACTGCCCGTTCTGGTCACGAGCCAGGTTGAGCTCTCGCTCCACTCGACTCTCGAAGGACTCTCGGACGGTCATGCCAGGCGCGGCTTTGAGACGATCGTGCGTGGCGTCCTCGATGGCTTGGACGACGCTCTGCTTCCGGATTGAGATCTGCTCCTTGATATGCTCCATCGTGTTTCGATCCGCGATGGTGTCGCCGATACCGATGCTAAAACCGTTGTGGAACAACCAATAATTCACTACCTGCTGGGAAAGTATACGAAAAGATTTTTTACGTACTGCATGTTCATTTCGTCACCATCGAAATCGGCGTTGTATGGAGGCGTGACGGACAGATTCAACCGAAAAGCTACATGAGTCAGTCACATTGATCCACCGCAGCCGGAATGGACGTACTAGAGTATGGCATGAGTTTGACTCGATGGCTCATCATACTCATCTTGTGTAGACTAGGCTGCTGATTGAAGAGAACGAAACTATTATGTTGGTGAGATTCACGCAGCAATACGGGAGGCTGAATGTACGTACTCTCCATCCCTCAGGTGTCGTTCGACGATCCAGGCGTACTGCAGGAAGGCGGCGTCTTCGGGCTTGTTGTACCAGAGGTCTATCCGCTCTCTCGTGGCCCAAACAACGAATCGTGCAACCGGATATGCGGTCGAGCGGGTGTGCGGTCGGGCGGTCTCTGACAAGCTCCTGCAGGTATGCGATGTTGTACGGCATCACTGCAATACCGTAAGTATGGATCTGATGCGTGCTAAACATACTTTACATACCGTGCTTGGGATAGGTCAGATTCATGGCGATGCTCTTAGGTACGCCAACCTCGTCAAGCTCTAGGTTCGGATCACCGGTAATGACCGTACGCGCGGAGAAGTCCACAGGTAGGCTGCCCTGAGGATGTCAACTTCACTTGTTGCTCGACGAGTCACCTTCCTGCCAGCGACTGCGGCCTTAATGGCAGGTCAGAGCGTAAGTTACGAGGCCCGGGAGCGAGATAAACCGGGGAACATACATGTGGGCGCATCTGCCAGATGCATGGCTTTGAACGGGGGGCCGTCGAATACGACGTGTCTTGTTGCTCAAACTTGCTAAGCGTTGTGCTGGCCGCGCTGACGTCCCCTTTGCCTGCCGGAGCGTCATGGTGTATGCTCCAACCGTATGTGATAGGGTACCAGCACCTGTGAAGCTGTGTGAGTGTGGCCCTACGTGCAAGGTGGACATGCAAACTGACCTGTGTCATCCTTTGAGACGACAGTGGCATCCGCCCTCCCTCCCGCCGTTCACCAGCCCAACTTCTCAACCGGCTCCCGACTGTTCGCCCA